GGATGTTGATTGGTTAGATCATTGTTTATAGTTGGACATGGTTAATAGATATTGTTGGACATTGTTTATGAGGTATTGGCTTGTAGTTGGACTCTGTGCTGCTACGATTGTCTCAGACAGTTTTCTGGCTGGTTTTTGACTGGCTGGTCACTGTCACTGGTTTTGGCTGATGTTGGACTGGTTTAGTACTTCATACAGGGTTGGATTGTTTTGGAGCGATTCTGGGATTTTACTGGGATTACACACTGACTGTAATCCCAGTAAAAGCCGGTCTTATAGTTCACAGGTGAAAGCAGAAGTCCTGGATTCAGATGAGTCATTTATTATCCCGTGATCTCGTAAAGACTAACCTTCACTCGTCTGCGTTGGCCCTTCACACACACATGCACACGCAGACACACTAAGCAAGCACACAGCGATTCCTGGAAAGTAAGGCATGACCTCCCAGGAACACGTAAACTTCCTGGGGTCAGTGTTAAAAGCTGCAGGTGTGACTCATGTTGTGAGGACATAGATGTGTTTACATGGTCACATTCTGCGGTCCTGAGTTCCTCGTGGGGACAAACTCGTAAATCATTACATGTTAAAGTCACGGGGAGGTTAGGGTTGGTCGAGCTGAAGTTAATGTTAGATCGGATTTCCAGGAAGAAGACATGACTGTGCGTGTGTGTGGTCCACATATATTTATGATTTTTTAATAAGCTGACATTAAAACAGCAGGAAAGCTCGCTGTCCAATCAGCACGTCTCTCTAAATGTCATCCTTGGACCGCCGCTCGCCCTCCGTGGACCCGCGCCTCATTGTTACGTGACAGCCAATCGCAGCAAAGATTATGCTTCATGAACATCACTTACTCCATGTTTTTATTGTCTCGTTGTATCTACGCTGCAGCATTACTTTTATTTTCTCAGCATTACTTTATTATTGCTTATTATTTATCGATCGCTTGTATTGATCTGAGTGTGCTCTGTTAAACAATCTCAGGGGCTGCACGGCCCAGTTTAAGATAAAGAAGGATTATTTTGAACCGTAATCATGCAAAGCTGCTCACGATGGGTGTCCTTAGCTGAATGTGCTGTTCATGTTTTTGAGTTTTATTGGTTCTGTTTGTTTGAAATGTTTCTTTGTTCTTTCCTCCTGAAAGCATCAGAAATCAAAACTTTGTCTTTTGAAGTCAGCAGATAAGAACACAAGAGACCGAAACCCTGAAAGGACCCATAAAACCTCTGTGGACAATAAAAGGATCCAATAATGATTTAAAGCAGCACTTTTATAAACCAGCACCATAAAACACATCTCACTGTGATGAATCCTTATCTTATCTTTAGATCAGAGTCTGGCTCATCGTTTCTAAGTAACACATGAAAACATCATTCTTCCAGAGCCTGAAGGTCGGAGGAAGATCGTGGTTCCAGGAAATGGCATGAGAGCTCGCGACCTCCACGCCATCATCAGCCCACAGCCTGACCTCTGCACTCCACCACCACGCGTTTGTTCGCTCTGAGCTCCAAACGCTAAGTGCTGAAGGGAGGGCGGGGTTACACCCAGGGTTTACGGGCATGTGATCAATTAGCGCCATCGTTTCCCTGCGTGGGTTTTGCACATACAGGAGCTAAGGTGTGGGTGTGACAGCTGTTGTGGCTTTAACCCTGTGAGTTCAAAGGTCGGGGTCATGACCCCCGAACCCGCTCCATGGCTTCTCAGTCTGGTGTAAATTTAAAAACAAATTGTAGTTGGTGTTTCTCAGCTTCTGTGATAGTGTTCACGTCTGAGTGTGGGTCCCCTCCGCCCCGGCGTCCCGGAGTACCAGCCGAGACGTCATGGAGACGATGGAGAGCCTCACAGTCGTGCTGAGTGTCATTTACCTCTGTTTTAATCCCTTTGATCTGTTGCTTCCTCCATGCTCGACCTCTACAACCAATCAGCTCCCTCCTAAACTCTAATGGCTTTGTTTCTATGGCGATGGTTCATCTGGGTGGTTAGCGCCACTCAGCCCCTCTTCAGCGTGCACACTCGCTCTCCTCCTGCTGATTGTCTGTAATTAACGTCTCCTGTCTGTGTGACTGTTTTCATGCATGACCTCCTCTCTCCTCAGTCTTTGCTTCCTGTTGTGTTTCCTGCTGTCACGTGTTGGATTTTGGGGGACGGATCGTTCGTATGAACTCATGCACCTCTGCGCTCTGTTCTCCAGCTGAACATCGATAACCTCACCAGTGTTAATAAGACCATTTTATCAGGTAACCTGTACCTGCCAGCTGTGCCGGTTCTGGAAGCTGAAACCTGAGAAGTTTGAAACGTCTGTAAAGTCCAATTATTAACACCAATAAAAATAATAATGATAATAACATATATGTTACTCAGTGCTGTTGTCTGCACACGGAGGCCTGTTGCTCAAGCTTTCTGTTTGTCGGTCATCTCTGCAGCTGTCGGGCATTTCATTTGGATCTTGGACTTTTATGTTTTTCCCTCCTGCAGCTGGGACCCGTTCAGATTGTTAGAGTGTGGTTTCAGTGAGGTTCTGGTCTGTTCCACTTCGCTTTCATCTGTTCCTCTGTCAGTTTAGACTTCTAGCATAAAAAAACAGAACCTTCACTAACGGACGAGCTTCCTCTTCCTGTCCATCAAGTGTTAACTTAATTACTTCTACGCCTGGTTTTGCTTTTTTCTTCATCACTAACAGCCCAGGAAAAGCAGCTGAAGAGAGAAGCCTATCAGGGGGTCGGACATATTTGTAGTTTTTAGCAGTGCTTTAAGTGGCCCAAAAGAGGTGCCGGTACTCTATTTTTTAGACAACCTTATACAAAATAATAAATCATTTTATTAGTTTGTGGATTTGCTTGAGCTAGAAAGAGCTACTGAACATAAATAAAATGTGCAAAAAGGTATTGAAATTTTTTTTAACAAAATGTACATAAAATAAATTATGAACTAATTTGTATTTTGCTCTCTCTTGAGTCACTGCTGGTATCAGCAGCAGCACTTGTAAAGTGTACCTGCAGAGCTTGGTAGTTCTCCCATACATGCTTTCACTGTTCTCTCACTTGAAGCAACCCAACGCACTGATAAAACACGGCCTATCACAAGGAGACGTTGTCCAACATTGTGAGCACTCTCGGTTAACTCCCTTTGATTTTTTGGTGATGCATGGTAGAGGGAGTAAAGCTGATCTAAGAATATTTTAAAGTGGTTGATTCCTCCTACCTCCTTCAAAACATCACAAACTGCCAGTTCCAGTCTGTGATTGGAACAATGCCAGACAAACAGGTAAGGGAATTTGGAACAAAGCTGCGCAGCAACTCCTGCTTTCCTCCCAAG